CTTGGTGCATGCTAATTGTAAATGAAAATTAAGCCTCCTCAAGTGCTGTCTTCTGGAAGGAATTCATACACTGTGAGGATGCAGAATCAGTGAGAGACAAGTCTGTTCTGGTGTTCCCTTTTCGTCAATGACACACCACTTTGTTTATTCACAAAATAAGCCTTATGACCAGTCCTTCTATCCCTATGGCACTTGAGTCAAAAAGACCTTATAGGCCAGTTCTGGCCAGCCAGAAGGAATTCCAGGTGTGATATTTGCTTTAATTTCTGATCAGAAAGATACCAGAGCACTGGTGATTTCCACTGAGCATTATTTTGAATCCTGTAGCATTGAAACAAAAATATTTGATAATTGATCAATGCAAAACAAATGCAAACTGAAAGATTTAATTTCAAAGATGTTTTACTGTAAAGAGTTCCCCACAGAAGACCTAAACTTGTTACTGAAATGCTCAGGAACCATTTTGATCACGAGAAAATCACCTGTCCTGCAAATGATATGTAATCAGAAATGTTATTGCTCCATGCCGCTCACGACAAATCCCCACTTGCTCACCTTTGGTTAGTTAGGCTGTAAATTTCTCAAGCAAAAAGTTGCTTATAGTTAGATACAGCACAAAGAAAATAGACAGCACGTAGGAAATCAGTAACAGTCCTAGCTTTCATCCCTCTGGTAAGAAAGTGAGATGTGCTAAGACCATTCCTTGGTTCAGTTGATATCTTTAGTCTTTAGTGAGTTTATTTGTGTGGTGTTTGTTGAGAACCATATGTGTTAAAAGTCACACCCTGGCCTTTTCCCCATAGACAGAAGCAGTGGAAATCAAACGCAGACTGCTAGTTTGATATGCCCAAGTTACATGACAGTGAACTAACAGAGCGTGGGGTAGCTTCAGAAGGAGCTCACAGGAATCAGAGAAGTGGCACCTTTAACTCAATCAAAGGACAGTAGCACAGCAATGTGAAAAGAACTCCAAACATCACAGTGGTTGTGTCCTTTTAAAAGCTATGAAAAACTGCTGCAATTAGAACATTGCTCTGTTCACACAAGCAACTTCGGGTACCTTAAAGACATGATTTTTGAGAGGCATAAAGGTCAAAAAACAGGTGTTTTGAAGAGTCTAAACAGCATAAGCAAGAAACAAGCTGTTTAGAAGACTTATGTCCTGTTATCGCTCCCTTCAAAAGGGACTCCTGACATATCCAGCCTTGGCTGTTGGCATTGCTAGATCTTGGTTAAGAACATGATAGAATCATCAGAGTATTTATCAGTAGGGACAAAAGATGGAAATGTATTTGAACAAGGAAAAAGGGGTGTGTGTGTGGTGGAATGGAGAGCTGAGATTAATTTTAGAACTACCAAGCTGTAAGTTGCACAGTCACAACGCGGAGGCTGGAATGCACTTTTCCAGAGTTTGTAAAGATTCACTTAATTTCTATAGAAACTGAGCAGCAAACAAGTAATTTTCTCTGCGAATTGCTTCTATCACCTCTGTAATGCTCTGCAGGAAGAATGTATTTCCTTTGTGTCTTCTTAATCCCCTGTTATTTTCATGATAAATTTAATTAAGCTTTTCTAAGAGAACATTCTATGACAAATGAGCTGAGGTTTGTTTTCCTGTCAGTGATGACAGAAATAAACTGCTGAGCTATGTGGCAACTGGAATAACTTTTTTCTGTATGAGTATTCCAAATGATATTAAGCACTGCAGACATTCGCTTTCCCCAGCTGAATCAATACAACTGAGCTAAGATAAAGAGCTCTGCAGTATCTGAAGCACGGCTTCCAACCAGTCCTTTCCTCTTCTGGACGATGCCCACAGCTGCCGTTTCTGAAACACCTCAAAAGCAGATTACCTCTGTGGAAATCGGGTAAATGCAACCAGATTCAAATGCTTCCATTTCTATGGAAATGAATCCAGAAGAATAACCTACTCTGCTGTGAAATGGGCACTAAGATTCCTCCCTAGATTACAGCACAGCTGAACACTGCTTCCTTGCGATAGCTTTTGCTTTCTGTGCTGGCACTCTTTGCAAAATATTATGATTCCAGGGAGGCCTCTTTTGAGCATCCTCTTTGTTTTGCTTGGGACTGGTTACCAAGCAACACACGCTGCGTTATCAATGGTCCAATAAAAGATAACTTGAATGGGACACTTCTTAGTTTGTTTTTCTCTTCGCAAATTTTAAAGAGATTTATTCTAGGCTAATTCCTTGTTTCTAATATCCTGCTCATTTCACAGTCAGTTGACCCTACTGGACAAAATTTGTCAAATCACAAGGTTACCAGGGTCCAAATTTACACATATTATGTCTGAAGACAGATACTATAATGAATAGTTATGTTACCATGCAAAGGAGCTCAAAACAGGCTGTCTCATGTAAAAAGAGATATCCATGCTTCCCCTTGCCCCAGTTTTTCCATTTTAACCAAGTAAGAGCTGAGAACATCTGCCTTTGTTCCTGTCTGACAAGCAGCTGTGGAGGTACTGACACAAGTAAAGCCAGAAGCGTTGCAAAAGCTCAGCCTTCAGTGCTGAGTCCAGATTTCTGAAGACCCATGCAACCTGTTTCCTACATTTCAGCTACAGGATTTCCAGAGCTGAACATGAACACCAAAAATGAAAACCAAACCATCCTTAGGGAATAATTAAACCTTTAATGCCTGTCACTGATCAGCATTTATGAAAGGTTCTGGTGTCCTAAACCCTTCAGCTTCACTTTAAGAGGGAGAGGCAAGGAAAGATCACATATCATTAGCTGATTTAAAGGTTGAACATAAAAACCCCTACTGATACCCAAAGAAAAGTCCTCAATTTTCCATATGATATCAGCGTGTTTCCTGACTGCTTTTCTATTACTCTACTCATCTACCACACACACCATCACATGTAGGGATGCAGAGAGACAAATAACGAGGTGCATACATTTGGATAAGGCACAGGGAATTGAACCATGCTACTTTTAATTGTCATGTCTCTATAACTCACTGAAAGCAACAACTGTGATCAACACAGACAAGCTGGGAAACATGCACTGTGCACACCAGTAAGAAGTCAATCTTTCATGCCTCACTTCTCCCCTGGCCCCCATCAGGAGATTATGGGGAGTAAAGCAAACATAAGCCATTCCTGTCACAAATTTGAGCCCTTGAGATCACACATTTAAAACAAACAAACCCCAAACCACAAAACTCCTCCCAGCCCTTCCTTCAGTTACTGCTGAGGTGTTGGGTTGTTACTTGGGCTGTTGGATTTTCTTACTTAAGACACTGGTAGTAGAGGGAGACCAGTATTCCTGCTGCCAGTCACATCCATCACGTTGCAGGATTTCAAGCATCACTGCTAAGAAAAACATCTTCAAAGCGATACTGGAGTAAAAGTGTCACACCAAGGGAGAGCTACCTGTCTATGCCTCATACTTCTTTAATGTCATGCCTTTGACAGCTTCGCAACAGCTGAACAGCTTGGATCTCAGTCCAAGATTTCCAGGCTGTGTGAGTATGAGAAGTATGACACTTTAGTTAGAGGCAAAGCTTCCAATTTCCTACAAACACCCATCTCTTTGAAGCTAAGCATGAGGAGCGCCAGTTCTGCAGCCCATGGCTCACAGCAGTAGCTGCATGGGCTTGAGTCTTACCCTTCCCACTGCTGGTTCTAATGAGGCCTTTCCACCCCACACAGGAGGTACCAGCAGCAGCAGGTCGAGTTTAGGATCATCTTAGTCTTTAACACAAAGCAAAACAAGCCTCACATGCCAGTGTTTCTCTGTAACTTCTTCCTTCTCTCTTTCGCCCCTGAATCCAGGTATATGTTTTCTCCTTTTGCCAATCCAATACAGTTAGACTTCCACATCACAATGTAGCTTAGGTCTCAGAGCATTTTAAACCTGATGCTCTGCTCTATCCTGATCAAGCAGCTACCAGCTTTTCCTTGACAATAAGCATTTTTCAGGGGCCAAGCCTAGGAAAAGCCACTAAGCAGAACCTCCTCATACTAAATCAATTCTAGTTGCTGGCCACAGCTGAAAAGGAACTCCCTTTTGTAATCCATTTACCCTTGTTCACATGAGGTAAAGAGCCAGTACAACATTTCTGAATGGCTAAAGCACTCAAGATGACACTGGAATACCAGCAGACTAAACAAGAACAGTTACTGATGTTCAGTGAGAGGAGACACTCTTCAGCACAGTTATATTTCTTATCAGCCCAAACACAGCTACTCCTGCTTTAACTGCTGTCTGTTCAGACCTAGTAAGCCTATTTGTCTGGAGCCCACCATTCTCTCACTGCAGGAAGCAAATTACATGCATGCATCATTGCTTTGGCTTGCTTGTTGGGACCTGAAATTCACTACATGCATGAGTAGACTTCTATTTCTTCATCTACAAAGGATAAAAAGCAACACTTCCTAAAGCAATGACTCCCAGCTAATAATATCCATCAGGAAAGACACATCTTCCCCCCTGCAGAGCTCTGGATTATGTGCTTACAGCGCAGCCCCATTTCAGTTAGGATGATGAAAGAAAGGCACATTCTGAAAGCGCTTAGCAAATCATGGTAGGACTGTAACAGGCTGCACAAAAGTGCTACTTACTGGAACAAAAGAATCAAATCCATGAAGACTCTATGTTCTCCAGAAAAGTAGCCAAGCTCTAGAACATCTTCCTGATGAAGATCCAGAATTATTTCCCAGCACAGACATGTCTTAAACCTTGACCTGAAAATAGCCCATTCTTCTGTGTATCAACTGTTAAGCGATGACTTCTTTGGGACTAGAAACTCTCCCTTGCTCTCCAGCCAGCATACTGAGTGACCTATGCTACTACCTAACTTACTGCTGAGCAAATTCCCTGATTCTTCACCTGTAATAACCCCCCACAAATAGGACCAGATATAAAAATAGGATGCATTCCACACACATGTGCTACTCATCCACAGCAATATATACAGAAGCATATTTTCAGCAGGAAAAGACTGAATTTAAGGAATTTATTTCCACACACCTTTAGTGCTGTTTTCCAGGAAACCCCCATCTCACGGCAGAGACTACAGGAAAACTCTTCAGGATTAGCCTTTAAGCTAGTATCTACAGCTGACTTTTATAACCTCCACCCATCCATTTCCTTAGACTAATTGCCTGCCAATGTTCACAGCTGTTCACTGCTCTTAAAAAACCCCACAAAGTTAAACACCCCCAAAACAACCCAAAATCCAAACAAACCCCCAAAGAAACCTACAAAAACAAAACAAAAAACACACACAAAAAAAACCCAAACAACCCCCAACACCCCCCCCCCCCCCAAACAAAAATACAAAACCAAAACATAAACCAAACCCCCACATGGGTAGGAGGATTTGGGAAACTGCTTTTCGGAGTAGGAGCTGTTTCAAGCAGTCTATGGAGCTCCAGCAGCAGCATTTTGTGGTTAAGACTGGAGGTTATTGGTAGCCCTCATGGCAGGAAAAAGGATTCAGAACTGAATCTGCTTTTTGGATTATCTTTAGAGCCACCTTTCTAATGACAGCCTCAAGTGTTTAAAGTCTAAAGTGTGAACGTGGTCAGTAATAGGAATTCTTAGGAAAAAAGCTCTTGGCTCTTTTTCTCTGAAGGGATGGAGTGGAACTGTTCTGGAAATTCCATTCGTTTAAGTACATCCATTTAAATACACTCTACTTGTGTTTTTTCTTCCTTCCTTGTTTTATTTTATTTGTCTTTCAAAAACAAGGTGTCAGAAAACCTGACACGGTGCTGTACCATATGCTTAGTGTCTATTTCCAGCAGCAGGTGAGAATCTCATGATTGAATTCCCACCTGTGCCAAGGCCATTTTACACCAATTTGCTCTGTAGGAAAACATAGAATAAAAGCAATAAAATCTGTGGAAGACTTGTATGTATGGGTTGCTGTGCACAGTTTCAGCATTGCCCATGTGAAAAGGGAGTACATATAGCAATTTCCATCTCTGCACAGTATTAAAACAGGAAAGCATTGCCTAAAGCCATCATCACCAAGCAATGTTCTACAAGCTTGGTCAGATTCTGGAAAATAATTTGTCAGCTCATTTCTGCAGCCCCATTTTCTTTTATTCTTTTAGTGTTCATGCTCATAAACTTTCCATTAAAAAAAAAAAAAAAAGGAAAAATAAAAAAAAAAGAGGAAGGAAAAAAGTATTTTCCTGTAATCACCAGGTGACAAGATATGATAGTATAAATCACAGCAACTGATATTGGAAACCTCAAGTCACAAATGACAGACTTGATGAATCTACAAATCTGTCCTTCCTGAAACAAATCTGGGGCTTGAAATCTTAGCATCATTCGCTACAGTCCTATTCCCTGATTTATTCATCGAGTCCTTGCCTTGAAGCAGCGTAATGATGTTTTCTCTCTGATGTCTAATTGCCAACTGGAGGGCTGTACAGCCAGTGATATCTTCCACATCAAGCAGAGCACCAGACTTAATCAAGGTCTTTATAATGGCCATATTGCCCTTGAGAACAGCAAGGTGCAAGGGCGTCCAACCCACTTTGTTCTTAGCATTGACATCTGCCTTGCACTCCAGAAGATTGATGACAGTCAAAAAGGAGCCCCTCTGCACTGCAAAATGGAGGGGGGTCCACTCTGACTTCTCAGCAATGTTGGGGTCTGCCCCACATCTCAATAGCTCACAGACGACTGGCTCATCACTGTAGCGAGTGGCCAAGTGAAGTGGTGTCCAGTCCATGCTTCCTTTGGCATTCAGTTTGGCATGGCTATCCTTCAGCAGGTGGATGATTTCAATATGTCCTTTGAAAGAAGCCAGGTGCAGGGGAGTCCAGCCTTTGTCTGTCCTTAGCTCCACATTAGCTCCATATTTGATCAGTTTCTCACAGATGAGATACTTCCCCCTCACCACAGCCAGGTGCAGGGCACTGTAATGATTCTGATCCAGGCTGTTGACAGAGATCCCATTCTTCAGCAAATAATGGACTACCCTGAACTTCCCTCTCTCCACAGCAACGTGAAGCGGGGTTCTATGGTTCTTCTGCTTCTTCTCCAGGTCTGCTCCTTGACTGGCCAGCAGTTTCACCAAGCTGAAATGTCCAAAGCAAGCTGCCACATGGAGGGCAGTTTTGCCATCAGCCTCCTGGGTGTTGGAGTCAGCCTGGCGAGACAGCAGTACTCGGGCCACGTTCTCAAAGTTGTTCTGTGATGCCAAGTGCAGAGGGGTCCATCCATCGTGCTCTTGAGCATTTACCTGCGCCTGGTGGTCCAACAAGAGGCGTACAATTCTGTCGTCCCCATTCTGGGCAGCAAAGTGAAGAGGTGTCCACCCATCTTCATCAGGCATATTGATATCTGCACCATGCTCTATTAGAACTGAGCAGATCTCTGGCAACCTCTTCTGAACAGCCATAATGAGGGGGGTGTAGCCGCAGACCACCCGGCTGTTCACATTGGCTTTACAGCTCAGGAGAAACTTCACCTTTTCCACATTTCCCTGGATCACCATGAGGTGAAGTAGTGTGAGGCCATTTTCATCGACTCTACAGATTTCCTCAGACAGGATGTCCTCTGGGCTTTCAATCTCACTGTAAGAAGGTGGGATATGGACCTCCTGATTGTCAGTGTCTACGGGGAGGGGAAACAAAGTAGGAGGAAGAGAGTAAGACCAAGTGAAATAGCTTGGTGTGCACGCAGTGGGAGGGAGAGCATGTGAATCTTCATAGTATGAAATGAAACAAAAGTCATTTTAGAGATAGAGAATATGAAATGAGGCAAGATTGCTACATGCCATGTCTCAGAAAGCAGCGAGACATTTGGCTTCTCCCTCATGGGAACTATATCTGCTGTTTTCTGTATAGTTCATTTTCCTTATCTTAAAAAGAAAGGTAACTCGCATAGGAAACTTTCCTTAGTCACATCCTTATCACTGGAGAGTGATGAAATAGGCTTTACCTGCTTTATTTTTGAACTATAAAGGAAGTCTCCTACTTACCACCACTCCTGGTGTCTTGGGGGAAGGTGAATTCTTCTTTGTCACTCTCATTGCCATGAAGGAGAAAAGAAAAAGCCATAAACCAAAGTTGTTTGTTTGCATTCTTCCATGTTTGAACATAGTTCTTCTTTGCTCCTGCTCTAGAATTTTGTATTATCATTCCAAGGGTTTTATCCAATGCTGTTATCGCATCCAAAACTCAGCACAGCAAATCAAGACACTAACAGGAATGTGGGAGCCTGAAAATCATCACTGGATATCAATGAGATTTTCCTCTTACTCATTTGCTCCCAAACATACATATATTCTACATCCTCACTGCAGCATGTGCACACAGCATCATCCCAGCTAGTCATTTTCTTAGTTGCACAGAAACCACCCCACCTCCTACATCCTCTATACTCTGGCATCTTGTCTCTTGCTGACTATACAACTAGGCAAGACCTCAAAACAGCAGTAGTTTGCACCTGCCACTTCACTCTGTATGCAGCTGACTTCTAGGCACAATTACACTCTAGTAGCTGGGCTAAAATTGTTCCTATCTTGAAACCTGTTTTTTTTTCTTAACCAGAGAAACACAGAGGAGGACTCAGTGGCATTTTCTGAGTGGCACAGGGAAGCCTTCCTTACCTGCTGGTTTCCAGAGATGGCAGGCTTGTGGGACATCTTCCTAACAAGGCGCTCGTTCTCTGGATCTACTACAAGGCTTTGTATCAATGACAGCAGCATGTCTGTTTCTACAGGGATATCTACCAGAGCAGAAACACTGTTAATTGTGCAGACTACCCAGATATTCAGAACCCAGTCAATACCCAAGGCTGTGGAAGTCGTCCACATATCCTCCACATGGGGAGGAAAGAAAGAGGGGGAAAGAGGATGTGTTGACAGCAAATAGGTACCAAGCATTTCCAAGACCACAGGCAATTTAGCTGCCATAGAGTTATATGTGAGTTTATCCACCACATGTTAATCCATGCAGCTGAACCCTAGCTAACATGTATCACATCACCTACCTGTAAAGCTTGGCCTTTGCTTAGGGTCTTGGTCCCAACACCTCTTCATCAAGTCAACCATCTGCTGGCATTCCCCTGGCCAGTCATCACTGATGGGCTCTAGGCAGGGCCTCTTCCCTGCTGCAACCTTGACTATAATGGCCATCATATTTGCTCCTGTAAAAGAGCAATGTGCACTGGGCTTTTTCTCTGTGAAGATGGTTGTAATAAACATTTAATAAGTGCAGAGCATGTAAGAAGTGTTCATATTTACCTGCATAAGGTTTCTTCTGCATAAGTACCTCCCAAATGACAATTCCAAAGCTGCAGGCAATGAGAGGTCATGAGCAAAATAGCTCCCATATGTACACAAAGTTCACTTTTTGCTTTTGTCTTCCTGAGAAATGGGAAAACTAGGAAACTTCAGGATGGAAGAATTTCATCTCCACACCAAAAGGACATGAGCTTACAAACCATTACATACATCTCTGATGCCCCAGCAAAAGTGTTCGTGTAGCGAAGGAGTGATTTAGAGCATTTCCTGTGAAAGTCAGGCTCCTGAAGCCTTTTTTCCACTATACAGCATTGGGTGTTTGAGCTCTTGACTAAGGCAAGTTCATGTGTCCACAGAAACCCTCCTTTGTTTCTTGTCTTGGGTTACAGTGTAGTGTAGTGACTAAGGAGCTGATGGATTTCTGGATATACATAGATACGTGTAAGTGGGCTGCAAAATACTTTGGCCCAAATGAAAAAAGTAAACTTGAAATCTTTTCTGCACCTGTTACTGACCAAAATGAAGCTGAATACCAAAGTGGACAAGCAATATCACTCGTTTTAAAAGCAAAAGTAATCTGAGCAGCCACTGCTGTTTGTTCTGTGCTCCAATCTTACTGCTTTCCTATAGAAACTTCTACAACCTAACAAGGTATGATGATTTCATTCCTCCTCACTCTCCACTACTGAGGCTGGAGTGCCACATGGCACTCCCAGTGTGTTCCCCACCAAGGACATGATGCAAAGCAGAGAGCCAAGACATGAGGAAACAAATTGAGGCAATG